GCCCCTGACGTGTGGGCCCCGGATAAGACACACATTTGAAAACACCCCCCATCATCGTGCTGCTGTCAAACCCCAATGGTTTCAAATGTGTGCCGGCCCTCACACTGATGATGTCTTATCGGCGAAAGTGCCCACACCCCCACCCCCCCTCTGAAAATTAGTGAAGAACACTGCTCTAAATATACATCACCAAACATCCATAGCAAGCACCTCCTGAAAATTATTCTTGACTCAGTTGATGCTTTCGGGAGTATAAAAAGGATTCATATTATTCTACCATTTCTAGCAGCTTACGCCTGCGTTGACGTTGGATTAGAGTTGGAACGGTCATTCCTAAGATCAGCATTTTGACCGGACATCCCACATACTTGGTTGTGGATCAGCTTGTTTTTTTGTCGTGGCCGTGTGACTTCTGCTGCCCGCATAGCCCAGGGATTAGGCTTTTTCCAAAGCAGCGCTATATATTATTGTTTTCAGTTAATCGTACATTAAACAAATTGGACATCTATTCCATGACACAAGCACTTTCCGGACAAACCGGAAAATTTGAAATGTCAAGCCACACTCTCTCAACACACTGCAGAGATTTATAGGAAGAGATTTCCATTGTCAAACGAAAAAACGCCGCCCCAGTTCCTTATGGAGCATGTCCTGCTGTCAACATTATTATTTCGGCCCTCACTTACGCAGGCCAGCCTTGCTTAACCCCAAATAACACTCTCTCCTCCTTCCTGCGTCCCATCAGCTTCACCTGATAAAACTCCCCCAGCGGCAAACAGTCACAAACACTGTGTGTAAAAAAATCCAATATTCCTGCGAACATATTTACAATATGTTATCTGTTTATACAACTGCTAAAATTAGCACACATCGATTTAAACTAAACATTATTAAAGGAACTCGATGTTCAAAACAAACTATCCAGTGAACCCTGGAGTGGGGGAAGAGTGGCATGAAATCACTGCATTCCACTGTCAGAGGGAAATGTGTTCCGCATGAATACAAAAACGTGATTTCCACTCCTTAATAAAAGCTTATATAATACAACTGTTTTTGCAATAGATATTAAAGCATACATATCATATTTTTCAAATCACCTGAAGTATACCCAACCACTTCAAATCTCAGACGCTAGGCAGGATTGGGCCTGCACCATGCTTAAGTGGGATAAAAGTTGTTATTGGCTAGAAGGCTAAGCAGTGCACAGCCGCAGCAAAGGACAGTGCAGAATAATCCATTGTTGTGCGGTTCTTCTATGCTCCCTGAGTTCATCAAACCGTGCCGTCCTGTGGGGAAGTACAGTCAAATAACTCCCACGACCTGGGTGGCGTGGGAAGGCCCTCCTGCAGTGGCTGATCACAGCATACAGGTTTCCGTCACTTTATGCCGGAGATGCATAAAAAAAGGACACAAAACAAAATCGGGTAGCTGTCACCCAACCCACAATGCACCGCACAAGACAGATGCCTGTCAAGCAGCGCACACAGGAGAGTACGGTACACACAACAATGTTGTTCCACGTCCGACCACACAGGCACATGACTAAAATCAAACCTCATTGAGATAATTTCGGGTAAAAGAGGTTAACCACACAGACATGAAATCTCACGAACCGAACCCCGCACGAAGTGACGGGAAACCTGGATTATAAAATAATCGACATTTTTGGCCACAGCCCTCTCCCTTAACCAGGGGCGTCTTGCCACGAGTGTCCACGTGCAGTTTGTCCCAGGACCCAGGCGTGAAGTGGAAGCGATGATGTGAATAGCCTCGTTGTGTGGAGTCGCACATTCCTGTCCCTGCAACGCGTGGAAAATCTGACTTCGCCAGCAACAGCTGCCCATGTCTGCTCTCCAGTCATCGTTTTCACTCAATTGACTCTTTCATTTAATCCACGTCTTATTCTTCTCTTCGTTCGTTCGTGGATTCTAGCCGGCAACGTCTAGAACTCTAGAATAACGATGACTTTGTCGATTGTTAGCGTCTACGCTGATGCACAACCGTTGCCCGGTTTGGCCAGGAGATCGCGTGCACCGCATTCCCCACGCATGTGTCCTGACCCTGCAACGCGGCACATATCTCGGAGTTCACATGGAAACGCGTCAACACTGGGAGGCTGGGAGCACCGAGCCTGAATTCCAACGTGTCACCGACGGGCAGTTACACGTAGGGCGGTCGGATTTGCATTCCGATACCATTAAGTTGAGGAAAGCCTCACCGAGTCTTCAAGACACCGATTTCCAAGGTGGCTCACGGAGTTGGAGCTCTGAGCTGCCACTGCTGAGGGCCTCCGTTTGAATCTGAGCAGCCGGCTGTGATTAAAGCGGGTTCTCAACTGTAGCAGGTTAATCATCTCAGCCTGCTCCCCAATGACTGCACACCAAAAAAACATCGCATCCAATGTAGTTTTCCACTTAATTTGGCCTATTCCAAGTCAGTTAGACATGCAATGGGAAGTATTCGCAGGAAATTAAAGGTGGGCCCCTAATATGGATAAAGCAATCGACTTAAGTGGCCTCTCAGGCAGTTCTGTAATGCCATCTTCCAGCGGTATCCTCCGAAAAATCCAATTTGAAACTTACGTGTCGCAACATGACAGCAAGAGCACAATTTGAATGTAACTCAAAATATATTGAAGACAGTATTTTAATTTTTTTCAGTATTTTCATATTTCGTTCTGTTTTGGATGTTAAGACAAATATTTTTTTAGGGTTTCTGAGTATTCTTGTTTTCATTAGGAGGAAAACAGGAGTGTCCGGAGAAAGCCCTTGTATATGATGGATCATGCAACTAAGATAAGTGCCTCAGATAATGTTTTTGTATGGATTTCCATATAACAACACACGCATGAATAACGGTAGGAGTGGAATTTCTCGGGCCCGCGAGGGAATTCATTCAAAAAACATTTACAAATAGTAACGTTCTGTTGACCTGAGTTGGGGCATTCTGCGGTCGTTTATAATAACCACCACGCGTTCATATGCAAGCTCATGCCGACTACGATCAATCGTGCAACCTGCGTCAACGATTAAACCATCTATGCTCAATGCGCCCGATAATTAAGCACGCGTTAGGTTAAAGATGCGTACATTTTCATTTGGGGGAAGCGGTGGCACGGTGTTTTTTCTGCACACTGCGCTGTGAACCTGGTGACCCAACTTTAATTTATGGTCACTGCTAACAATGGCGAGTGACATCCAAACCGGGCTTGGTTCTAAGCACTGCACAAACCTGCAGTGACCCACGCTGTAAGGTACAACGGGCAACCACCAATGGCCAAAAGGGTGTGGGGAGGCCTTGATAAAAAAAAACGGCTATAAAGTTTCCACGTTCAGTTCTTATATTAAAAACACATTTGCTCTGGAAATGCTTCCCATAAAGATCTGCTGGCATGTATCTAGAATGCAATGTCATAGGCCATCATTTGCCATATTGTCTCAACAGGTGGCATCAGCCCTGTCACAACTCCTATGCGTGGCAAGCTCGTGTTGCAGCATGCCCAGATACCTTTCTAAAATTTACTCATAAGCTCATGGATCCAACAATAAAGTTGTGTGTACTGTAACGGACGTACACAGTCTCTGGCGATCAATGGCACTTGGCTTTAAACAACAGAAATGTTTTTCACAATTGGGCAGATGAGACAAACCCTTGTGAATTAATCTTTGAGTTGAAGAACTGATAACACACATGTTAAATCTTGACTTAAAAGCTTTCGCGTCTGCAGGAATTAATATTCTTTGGGTGTTTCGGTAAAGTAGCGTAGATAGGTTCGAAAAAAAATAATAAATTCCAGATGACGACCGCTTGTGTTGCGATCAAAACGTCATAGTTTTTTGCTATTTTCTTTGAACCTATCTACGTGACTTTACCGAAAGACCCAAAGAATATGAACACAAATATTGACAAAACGCACATGCAGGCACATATAAACACCTGGCTCAACTCTGCCAAGTAACGTCTCTTTAACGATATAATCAGTCTTACCCTTCCGAAACGGAATTACGCCAGTAACGGTTATCCTGTTAGTGTGAACGAAATGGGACGAACAAAAATAAATACATGAAAGTCGACGAGCAGCAAGTCTTCCTGCGAGAGTTCACAGCACCGCCCAGCACGCACGCTATTTATAGCCAGCGTCAATCGTGTCCTGGCCATGGGCCACTGCAGAGCATCGCCATGCCGCATACTTTGGCCCAGGTCTTACCCCTGGAGCGGAGCAATGTTGGCCGAATGTTAGCTGATCAGCACAGGGTTGCGATCCACAAGTATTAAGTCACTCGCCTTTTGCCAGTTGTCCAAGGACGGGTGCATTGCAGTAAATCTGAAACTTGCAAGTGAAAAGCAGACCGCGACTTGATATATTCATTGCATTAATGCGTGTGCACTTTGGCGGTGACACAGACCTATTTAATTTTAAGGTTACAATCCCTTGTTCGACACGACGTCCTTTTTACTTTGATATCTCAATAGCGTTACGGAGATCGCGTGACGTGAGGGTTCTGCCTTTGTAGTGAGGGTTGCGAGTTGACGCCGAGGAGGGGGGGAGGAGGCGCCTCGGCCCCCCATGTGGAGTGACGTCAGCTGCTAATTATTATGAAGGGGGGGTGTCCATTTGGAGGAAGTCACCTTATGATTATTAATGAGGGAGGCTGAATAATGTGGAGTGACGTCACCTGCTCATGATTATTGAGAGGGGGGGTCCATTTGGAGAACATAACCTGCTCATGATTATTAGTGAGGGGGGCTGTTCGATGTGGAATGACGTCACCCGCTCAAGATTATTAATAAGGGGTGGGGGAGTCCATTTGGAGGACGTCACCTGTGCATGCATATTAATGAGGGGGGCTGGTCGATGTGGAGTGACGTCACGAGCGTTAAGGACAGACATTCCTGGGTGATTATAATAGGTATATCATGAACAACAGTAATTATAACAATACAAATAACCGCTCACAAAGCAAACCGATGAAGGAAGAAAAAAAACTTGCACAAAGAAGATGATTACAAAATTCAATTTCTTCAACTTTATTATTTACATGGTTACAAACACATGATCAAAAGGGCAGGTAATCTCTTAGATGAACCATACTACACACCAGGTGAGCAACTGTCCTTTACACAGATCATATCACAAACTCAGAAATATTGTACAGCAATTGCACATGGACATCACAGCCACGTGCCTTTAGCCCTCCAATCACCAGACAAGAAGTTCCGTAGCTCCTCGTCATCATCGTCCTCTTCGTCTACATTGTCCCGGTCCGCCAGCGTGTCCTTGAGCTTCTCTTTGAGCGAGTGGCGCTTGTCGAGCAGCATCTCGACGCGACGGTAGCACTCGCTGGCGCACAAAGCGGCGGGCACAGGGGCAGGGGGAGACATCGTCAGACTTTTCTGCGGTGCAGCTCACAAGCGAGCCACCACAACTACAGGTCACAATGTCCACGGTGGAAGGTGTGAGAAATACACAATAGACATTTGATAACTGCCTCTTCAAATGTCATTTAGAAAAGTTTGAAAGCTTAACTTTGCCATTGTTACTATTAAAACTATATTCTTTGGGTCTTTCGGTAGAGCCTCAGCAGCTCTCCCACTATATTTTTTACCTGATGACGATTGTTTGTGCTTGCGATCGAAACGTCGTGATATTGTTATTATTTGTATTATTTTGTATTATTTTTTCGATCGACGTGGCTTCAGCGAAAGACCCAAATAGTATGAATTCCTGCAGTCACGAAAGCTTTAAGTCACTATTAATGATAAGCTCTTAAAATGTTTATATTTTACCAGGTAAGGCCCACTGAGCTATGTAGCTCTTTTTCATAAACGACTTGGCCACAAATGATAACTCAACAAAAGTGGCTTATCACAGGGAAGTTTTGTTAAACCAGCCAAATACTCGAAATGCATGTTTCTCAATGTGGCGAGAAAAACTGGAGAACCCTGAGAAAAATACACACGACTATAGGGAGAACATACAAACTCTAAATATACAGAGGATGTCACGGTCGGGATCAAACCCACAACTTCCTGTATAATACCAGGCGAGGTAGTTGCCAATTTTAAAAGGGGGGATGATAATGTCTCCTTTTCCTAGTAAGTACCACACCAGCCCAATTGCCAAGAGACACAGGCACCCTGGGTGTTCGTAACGTGCGCTTGCTTGCACTCACATCTGCTCGTCTATCTCCTTAATCTGCCGCTCCACTCGGACCTCCTCGTCATCTTCCGCCTGCAGCGCCTCCGACACCTGTGGGCGCACAGCAGTCGCCGCAGGGTGATGTCGCTGACGTGAGCAGCCGGGAAATCTTAACACGGCATTTCTATAGCGTCTAAATGCAATCTCATTTAAAGACACTTGATAAAAATGGAAGAACAAAAAATTACATTTGTATGGAAGGGCAAAAAGAGGGGCTCAGGGAAGGGAAACATGGGAGAGAGGAGAGAGCAACACCACGGCACAGCCTGGGAACAAACAACCGCAGGCCCAGAACTAACAACGAGCCCCAGGTACAGCCGAGGCAGCCAGAGCAGCACCGACAATTCCGATGGCATCCTTTGAGGGGCCAGAGCCCTTCAGCAAAGAACCCCAGGGCATCCGGCGAACAGCATCATCCACACGTCACTAATTTGGGCACGACGGAAATCCTGGCTCCCAAGAATTAGGTGCCTGCATTTTTAGTGTAAACATTTATTTTGATGGAAAGGATATCCTTGTAAGAGCATAGGAACAACAGTACTCATGTCAACACTATAGTTGTATATAAAAGCACACGTACATCAACAAAACATACACCGCCATCATGCGCACTACCATTGTTAGCCGCATGAAGGACACACATATAGACACAAGTGTGCACAAACAGGCGCTTGGTAACACCATGCGGTGCAGTCCTCACCATGGTCTGCTGTCTCATCTCTTTCTGGAATTCTTCCCACTCCTTCTCCATCTGCTCTTTGGGGAGATTTACCTTCCGTACCTGCAAGACACGAACAAAGCATCGTCACACCGGGGCAGCCACAAAGCAAGCGGAGTAACGGCAGAGTGACGTGGAGAAGGGACCATGTAAAGTGACACAGCCTTCTATCAAACTGCGACACACAACGCGAACAATCGTATCCATTTATGTAAAAAGCAAAACACGAACCTTGTGATAAGGAATGAGACGACATTATTTTATCATAAACATGTTTTAAAGTGTTTAGGAAAGCATGAACACAAAGCCCGCCGCAAGTCAGCGCATTTTCCCATTGCTTTACGGCTGTTGACACACACACATGGAGAGTAATGGCAGTGGAGTGTTGCCTTTGACATACTCACGAACAAACTATACTGTTCTTTGCATGCACGGTCTTGGAATTTTGCTTACACATTAATTCTGGCTATGTTACATACCGACTTCCCAAAAATGTACATGTAACTTAGTGTGATTCAACAAACTAAAGGTGGACCTAAGACACAGCAAAATAAAGCAACCTCCAAAACAATGAAAATGATCCGTGTCTAATGTCAACACCTGTGCAGCATTCCAAAAGTGTACACAGGACCATATGTTAGCAATGAAACTGTGGAGGAATCCATTTAGTCATGGGGGTGCAGAATTTTGTTTCACCGCCCCCCCATCTCACAAGCCCTCCCCCCTGCTGTTAGTGGACGGAACTATGAAAACAGTGCAAGGCCCGCGACAGACTTAACAAAACCAAGCAGGTATTTAGAGGAGTTACATAAATCTTCTGAAAACAGCACTTTACCAACAGTACAGCATAAGTACATTCAATAGTATGAACAGGGAATGTAATTTATTATTCTGAAAAGAGAAACAAAAAATTGAGGGCTGTGAACACCGCACAAAGCAAGAGGGTCATGGTGACACATCAAATGGAATCTACACATAGCTGTACAAAAGATTAACATAAACGTAACATCCAACATTTGCTTGAGTTGGCTTAAGTGTGTGTAAACTATGCATGCAAATGAGTCGCTTGTCCATCTACTGCTGGATGACCAGTCTCATCCACATGTGGAGCCCATTACCTCTTGCCCTTGGCAGCTACAAAGTTCTGAGATTCAATCCTTATTTTGGTGTCCTCTCATGGATACCAGATGCAGTGGTCATTGAATTTCACTTGGGTTCATGAGAAAAACAATACCGTTCAATAGCCTACATTGCCTAAAAATCACGCGGATACGTCCAGAATACAGCGGCCATAATACGCATAAGCACCATTACATATTCAAGAATAACTCTGAAATGTATATGTGCTTATTAAATGTTCCAGCACTTACCTTCGCATCCATCACTGGGTCATCAAAAAACCCTTCTGGTAATGCTTCAACGGTATTTTCTTTCCTAAGCCGCGTAAGCAATGGAGGGTAAGTTAAATGAACAATTCACGTGCAATTTCCTCTGCACTAAAAATTACATTTAATTATTACAAAGCAGCCCTGCCCTCGTTTTCCGCAGCACTTACTTTGCAGTTGCAACATGCAACAGAAATACTTTTCATAAGTAGAATATTTTTACTGTAATTGACCTTTATTACTAAATTAAGTCAGACTTAAAATTCTGTAGTTCAAACTAATTGTATTAAGGTTCAGTGTTTTCTAGCCTCATCTCTTTTTCTTGCCTTTAAAACCCCAAGCGATTGACACTGCTACATTCCCCACTGCCTAAGCAAGAAAGGTCAACAAAATAATTCTCAACCACGCGGTTGTGAACTGATTAGAAACACTAAACATTAATGCATGTCCCAGCGGCACTAGACATTCTCCAGCCTTCTCTGGTATTTGTTACATGGGCAACAAGCCTCGAAAAATAATCCAAGAACGATTGCTGCAAGAATTGTCCACGCTGGAAGTTTGTTAAATATTGCATTTCAGTGGAGGAATGCAGAATTTTACTACGCAAAATCTGTATCAGTTGTGGCCAAGTATAACTGAAGTTTAGCTGTAATGCCAAGAAAAACATAACACTTTTGCAATTAGCCCTTTGCTGGGTTGAAAATTACCACCTGGGTGAGAATTTTATAGAAACCAGTGACCAAAATAAATGCATTTTTGGTCAAGTGCAACCACTTAAATCATCAATCAACTGCACTGTATACGAAGTTGATAAGAACATCGTTCGCTGCTCGTTTGTAAAGTTGTTTCTTACCAGCGTTGTTTACCAGTGTTGTTGCTGTGTTGAAGAATTACAACGGGAGGCATTTATAACGCGTGGCCAATATCATTCCATGAGAAATGTATCACTATCACATTGTTAATGAGATGCATATCGTTGTTAAAGCACTCTGGGATAAATGTTTCGTTAAGAATGATGTTGCAGTGGTTGTTTTGAAGTTGTCATTTACACCATTTGAATACAAACGAACAGATGTTTGGTATCCGACTGCCAAAATCTTGGCTTAACTTTTAACCCAAACATTCCCAGGTTATCGCTAAAATTTTAAACAGAATGCATGTTTAGTTTTTTAAACGAGAAGACAGATGAAAATTAACATAAATTAATGCGCTTTCAATCTAACAACGCTCAACACCCTTTAAAATGAATCACAGAGTGCCGTGTGGAAACTTACGGCTTCTCAGCCTTCATCTCCGTTTCTCCGGCCTTGGTGATTGTTCCCGAGTGGGACACAGGAGGTGGTGGTGCAGCAGCGCCAGAGTGAAACGAACCTGTAAAAGTAATTCAATGGGAGGAAAAACGTGCAGATTTTAACAACAAAAACGCCATAGAATGACATCATTTAGTGAGAATCGCATGATTTTTTTCAAGATAAGAATCATTGCAGTCAGCACAATTATCTTTCAGCAAGCCTTTGTGCTATTGTTTGTTTTTCAATGGACAATAACTGGTAAGTACTTGTACATGTAAACATTAAATATTACATTCATTAAATACTATTTAATGAAGAATGCAATGTCAACAGGATTTAAGCTGTAATATATTCAAAGTCTGTGTAATTTAACCTCGTAAACATGGTTGTTCAACGATTTCTAGTTTCCCCTGCTGTATTATGCAAAGAATGTCCATCAAAATGTGTCACTGCCCATGGTCACTGCTGCTCCAAGTCTTATAAAATATAAAGGCTAAAAATATAATCAAGTCTTCAAATAAAAAACAACACACATTGCACATCTTCTTGGTTCTTTCGGTAAAGTCACGTAGAAGGGAAGTAATAAAATAATAAAAATAAAACATAATAAAACAATTCTCACGACGTTTCGGCCACAACGCAAGCAGCCGTCCTCAGGTGAAAACCAGGTCCGTCGAGGCGACAGAGTCTGAGACAGAGTCTGAATGTCATGAATGTCATTCAGACTCTGTCGCCTCGACGGACCTGGTTTTCACCTGAGGACGGCTGCTTGCGTTGTGGCCGAAACGTCGTGAGAATTGTTTTATTATGTTTTATTTTTATTATTTTATTACTTCCCTTCTACGTGACTTTACCGAAAGAACCAAGAAGATGAATCCCTGCAGTCACGAAAGCTTTAAATCACACATTGCACATGCCAACACCTTCTGTTCTAAAACAACTCCAGTATGCCAAACTAGGGTGCTACTAAGCCTTACACGGTGCATAGTGATTACGGTTAAGGGCATGTCTGTTGTGGGAAAGGCTGTTTAAAATTCCATTTAGATTGTTTTACTGTTTGGAATTTACTCAATTAAGGAGCTACTTGCAAGAGAAATACTGTTAGGCCACGGTGGTATGCAGGAGGGCATGGGTTCGATCCCGACCGTGATGCCTGTGGTCACGAGGATTTTTCTCTGGGTCCTCCCGTTTTTCCCTCCAAATTTAGAAACATGCGTTTAGAGTATTTGGCTGCTATAAATGTCCACATGATAAGCCACTTCGTTGTGCTATCATTTGTGGCCAGGTTGCTTCTGAAAAAGTGCTGTATAGCTCAGTGGGCCTGACCTCATAAAATAGTTTAGTTTTAGTCATTTATATAAAGTGTAGTTTTAGTTTCGTACATGTTATTACTATAATTTAAACGTATGCTGTGAGTAGCAGAGGGCAGTGTTGCAAAGTCTATTACTGTACAGCAATTGAATGTTCCCCCAGACTTCTACTCCTCCGTCTTCAGCAACCCACACTGACGACCATATGGAAGTATAAACTACAAACACATTCCTGCGGAGGGAGCTGGTAGGAACGATGGGTTGCTCGGTCAATGGCCAGGGTCAACGGCGGCGTGGTGTATTCCGCAAATATGCCCGACTGTGAGGGTGGGCACAAGCCGGCGTGAGTAGGTTAAACGTTGAGTTTTATAAGGGCACCACGGGGTGACCAGCCCCTCCACACCCCTCCCACCCCCCACCTAGCCCCACCCTCCCCACTTAGCCCCTCCCCACCCCACCCAGCTCCTCCCTGCACGACGGACGGACACAATAATCCCCTGTGGGCTGGTGTAACCAGGAGGTTCCTACCAGTATCAAACAGCTACAACTGGAAGCATGGTATGGGAAGGGCCTTATCCAGCAGTATATTAACAACGGGCTGTACGCGTACTATTTAAATGTGTGATGGAATATGATACTTACCACCTGGAAGGCTGCTGGCTGTAGAATTTGTGTTGTTGCTGGTGGCTTTGCCATCTTCCTCCCCTTTGCATTCTTCTTTGACTGCATCTTCATCATCGTCATCGTCGTCATCGTCATCATCATCGTCTTCATCATCATACCCTCCTATGAGCAAAGACTTCTTTGACAGTGGAGCTGCCGCTGACTTGTCAAAAGATTTTCCCGAAAGCCTGAAAGCAAAATTGGTAATCTGAATACGTGATTTTGGATCAATGAGCAACCTTTTTTAAATTAAAGTAGGAATTGCTTGAATTGCAATTAAATGTAGCAAATGGGCATTTCAAATGTGATTTCATATTTGCAGGCAATTTAAAAAAACAACAACACAAAATTCTACTTTTGGAACATACCCAGCAGCTTGTGAAGAAGAAGTCTGACCAACATTATCATTGACTAAAAGAAACAAGAAAAGAACAATTCAAGTTGAACATACTGGAAGCCAGCGCGACACATCTAGCAGCAACCAATAAGCAATTTCGTACAAAAAACATATACACTGCATCACATGAATAATAATAATATCAACATGTAATGTGCACAGTATGAATTCACTCCCGGAAGACGGAGAATAATTTGAAGAGCACGAGGTACCACAGACCAACAGGATGGATGCCATTCGATAAGCCGGCACCAACAATTGTCCAAACACTGTGGTCCTCTATACATTTCTAGATTTGAAGCTTTCGTGACTGCAAAGATTCATACTCTTAGGTTTTTTCGGTAAAGTCATTTTATTTACCTACGTGACTTTACCGAAAAAACCTCTATACATTATTTATCGGCTAATGAATGAACACTTATACGTGGGAGGAAATCAGAACACATTGGGAGATAAGCCACGCATGCGTGGAGGGAACACTATATCCCACACAGGCGGAACAGATGTTCAAGTATTTTGCTGTACTGCCTTGCGGCAAGCCAGGGGTGATGGCACCTCGGCACTCGCGGGGAGGGAGTTTCACAACATTCGTGTGAACCACCAACCCTCGCCTCCACAGTGCTGGATCACAGCAGGCGGGCGCCACCACTGCCCGGCTAAGAGTAGAGCATTCAAATTTGGGGCACACGTGTTGCACATCATTTGTAAATGCAAGTTTACTTCAGGCAGCCATATATTGTAGTAGAACTATGTGAGGGCTGTGAATGAGTAATACAACATTTGCTGTAAAGTATTCCTTACCACTGGGCTGCTTCCTTTTCTGTGGAAGCTGGGCGACTGTAGGTGTTGTTGAATTCTTCTTTGCATCGGCAATGTTCTAAACGAGTGCCAGAAATGTCACCACTCAAATAGAACACTTGTGATAACACAAAGCGATATTTAACGTGTGCCAAGATCACCCGGTACATCAAATTATATCTGCATTATAAAGGTCTTGTAAGAGCAAACGATTCATTTCCTATACTGGTAAACAACGCCTTACTTTTCAAAAAGTCAACAGAAAAAACCTCTACACTTTACATCACCTTAGTCAACAGTCCGACGCATGTACGTGTATGTTTAATCTGGCACTGATCTGTGAAAACAGTTATGGTTTCATCTTTGCACGCGTCTGTTTACTGAACAATGAGTTTAACATGTTTAATTGTAATCATTATGCTTTATTTAACTGATTGATCACTCAGTGTTGTATATATATTATCTTTTTTTGTCGTGGTTTTCATAGAAGCCCTCTTGGGTTTCCACATCCACACCTGCACGCCTTTTTTATTTGCACAGTCTTTCGCTTGTTTTTTTAATGCAAATAAACAATACAAACAGTCGAAGGTTGGCACCTCCAAGTGACATGAAGCTAACGATAAACCAAAGAGATGATCAATGGACTCCTCACCTCCTTGTGCAGCTTTCCCAAGATGTGCGTCTGCCAGAGCAGCTCGCTCTTGATTGGAATGTTGCAAACGACGCAGTAAAGGTGGCCCAGGCTGTTGTACGTGATTAGCGTCCACGTCAAGGAATCACATTTCATCGACTCAACACAGAACATCGCAGCAAAACCATGCGCTGTGTGCACACGGATACAGAGACCTACACACTTTGTTCATGCACATCACTGCCTTACTCATATCACTTCCTGTTATGAAACATTTCAATAATGCATTCTTCTTAACGCAAAGCTACCTTCGTAATACAGTGATGCATTATTTTCAATAATTTTATTTCTATTATTATTTATTTTTACCTATGTGACTTTACCGAAAAAAACCTAAGAGTATGAATCCTTGCAGTCACGAAAGCTTCAAATCTAGAATTGATGCATTATTGCTTCATATTTGCAAACTCAATGCACGCCAAAAAATTATATATAAGGATAACCCTATTCTGTCTCCACATATAAATGTGTTTCAGTCCAGCAGACGACTATTTATTGCCTTTCCATGGCAGTGAGCTCGTTAAAAGGCCTGTGGACTGTACTGTCATGCATCTACGTGATGTCCTGCCCGCCTGTGTGTCATGTGACGTGAGTTAACCATGTATGTTTACATACGATGGTCACGCGTGTTTAGAATGCGAGTAGAGCCACAGCGCAGTGGACCGCCTGCGGTGGTGACACTTCGCGTTTCATGTCGTACGCGATGCGCACCGCTGCCAGGGCGATCCACGTTGTATTACGGCTATCACGAGGTTCCTGACATTGTTATATTCAGTGTTATCTTTGTACTTTCATCAATACACATTGACTCGCAATAGACGTGACTCGGTGGTCACCTTGACCAATCACTGCCTCCAACCCTCCCAACAGCCCCTTAGCACCAGCGCGGTGAAGTATGGCCAAGACAGTCAACAACAACAACAGGCGGAGTGGTGACCACGTCCTGCCCACGACGTCGCCATGAAGACAACAACAACAACGACAGGCGGCGTGGTGACCACGTCCTGCCCTCAACGTCGCCATGAAGACGACGACAACAACAACGACAGGCGGCGTGGTGACCACGTCCTGCCCTCAACGTCGCCATTAAGACAACAACAACGACAGGCGGCGTGGTGACCACGTCCTGCCCTCAACGTCGCCATGAAGACAACGACAACAACGACAGGCGGAGGATATCTGGCGAGCGGGGAGTCGATGCGCTTGGTGACGGCGGCCGCCGAGCGCTGCTTCTCCCGCTGCTTCTCCCGCATGAGTCGCCTCAGGTCCTCCTGCTTCACCGGCTGCTTCACCGGCTGCTTCGTTCCCGTCGTCTTCCCTGTCAAAGCCGCCGCCGCCGCCTTCTTCGTCTTCACCGGAGGCGCCATCGTCGCTCGCGTCGCCTCCTCGCTGCCGCCTCAAGCCCGCGCGGTCACGACGACGACGCCGCCGCCATCTTGCTCAGGGACGGGCGATGACGTCACGCGCATTTAGACGGGGGCAGCCCCGCCCCCTGTCCCTGATTGAAGATCGTCGCTTTAGACACTCAACACTCTAAATACACAGCAGCAGCAGCAGGCGTCAGGGTCTGTGTCGAACCAGCGAACTCCTGTACACCAGGCGAGGGAGTTAACATCTCCTAGCCACCGTGATGATGAGAGAGAGACACAGACCTGTACACCAGGCGAGGGAGTTAACATCTCCTAGCCACCGTGATGATGAGAGAGAGACACAGACCTGTAGATCAGGCGAGGTAGTCAACATCTCCTAGCTACTGTGATGATGTATAAAATCGCAGCTGGCCAACAAAGTTGGAAGAACGCGGACATCCGGCATGTTCCCGCGTCGATGTTGACATCAAAACATAAAAACTATAAAGACATAAAACTACCACGAGCCCTCATCCACTCTGCCTGTGTGCTGCCAAGAGTGGCAGCTGCAAGTGATGTCGTGTTGTTGGTGTTGCCCTTTAGCGGCACGGGGTTTGTTACTGACGAACGTGATGCGGATTGTACAACGTTCCCTTCCCACCACTGGCAACGCAAGTTGAAGGAATGCGGCAACTAAACACATTGTCCTGCTGCGGAGGGAGCTGGTAGGAACGTTGGGTTGCTCGGTCAATGGCCAGGGTCAACGGCGGCGTGGTGTATTCCGCAAATATGCCCGACTTGTGGGGGCTGGCACAAGCCGGCGTGAGTAGGTTAAACGTTGAGTTTTATAAGGGCACCACTGGGTGACCAGCCCCTCCCCACCCAGCCCCTCCCCACCCAGCCCCACCCCTCCCACCCCCACCCCACCCCGCTCCACCCAGCCCCACCCCTCCCACCCCCACCCCACCCCGCTCCACCCTCCCCTCCTACCCCCACCCCACCCAGCCCCACCCCCACCCCACCCCGCTCCACCCTCCCCTCCTACCCCCCCCACCAGCCCACCCAGCCCCACCCCCACCCCACCCCGCTCCACCCTCCCCTCCTACCCCCACCCCACCCAGCCCCACCCCTCCAATTTTGTATGCACGACGGACGGACACAATAATCCCCTGTGGGCTGGTGGAACCAGGTGGTCCCTACCAGTAATACACCACGTGTACCAGACCATTATAGAGGTGTTTTTCTGGGTTAGATCGCGTAAATATTAATGTGTCGTTAAACCCACCACCACCCGACACGTTAACAGAACTTGGCCAATTCGTCACTAATTTTGTATTTTATTTTTATTATTTCCCTTCTACGTGACTTTACCGAAAGATCCAAGAATATAATTGGTCACTAGTACAGCACCACCGGTGTGACACACCTGGCGACTAATTGGCTTTATCGAGTGGTGGCTGCCGGTTTAACGACCCCTATATTTAAGCGATCTAACCCACGAAACAACTAGAATTGTGGACGACATCGGTCGCGAAATCCATCGTGGCAAGTTGTGTGCACGTCCCTGACAACGATGACTGCCGCGTCTCCCCCTCCGATGACGACACCGAATTTGGGGGGGGGAGACGCCCCGCGCCGCTGATTGGCTGAGCCGAAGGTTCAGAGGTCCCCCCACGCTGACCAATCACAATCTCCGTCGAGCCTCCGAGGAAGAATCCGATGAGCTGTGAAGCTCTTCCGCAAGCCACACGACAGATGGAAGCCATGCCCATGTTGCTGCTGATTCAACACGTTTGTGATGCCGTAGGCGTCAAGTGAACCTCGGGGGGGGGGGGGGTCCCATAAGCCCCACGGCGATCTGCCCCTCGAGACGAGCTCCACGCGATGAGCTCATCAAAGTTTCGTTTATTCTGCACATTCGTCCTCGCTGCTGCGCTTTGGGGGCCGTCCATAAATGACGTCACGCGATTTTGGAAGATTTTTGACCCCCCCCCACCCTCGTCACACGGCGTCACAAAAAGTCAGACCCCCCCCCTCCCTCAAATATGACGTCACAAAGCTCTGCCCCCCCCCCAAAATAAACCATGCTTCAAATCGCTTTAAACTATTGTCATTGTAGTGCGTATTTAATGTGGCGCTGCACTGTGATGTAGGAGGGAACATTTATTAAAAAGTATTTAATCAAGTAGAACGTGTCTATATTTATTTACGCATTTTGATGTGACGTCACATTTCTCACCCCCCTCCCCCTCGTCACACATCGTCACAAATGTCTGACCACCCCCCCCCCCCAGGTGCGTGACGTCATTTATGGACAGCCCCTTGGACACGACCTGACCACAGAACGATCCGCGCCAGGCGGGTCGCGGCGTTGATGTGCGCGGTGGGACCGAGTCGCTGAAAACAAATTCATTCATTTCGACGCATTCGTTATTTACGTGCTATGAAGAAGGAATAACCATTGCCCGGAATGTCACCTATTGTGCACCTTTTCCTTTAAAGGCCACGTGGCTGATGTTTATAGTCAGTGGAAGCAGATGAGCAATGTACCAGCAGAGGAAACATTTCAATGGGTGCATATTGCTGCTGTGACACGGCTCAGAAACGTGGCCACTGGCAAAGAACATGGACACGTCTACAGAAGCGATGATGGCCAATAGTTGAGACTTTGTTGAACTTCTTTCGCACCGTACTTCGCCAACCGTGCTAATTGGACGTGCGGGGGGGAAAACAACAGACTAAACACAAAAATCAGTCCTACAGAAATGAGTTTTCAATCTACATTTAAAAGTGCGTGGCTTCCTAATACCGGAAGAGCGTTCCAGATGGCCGCGAAGCGCATCTGAAAGTGCGCGATGCGGTGGCAATCTTTGTTCGATGGCCAGCAGCCAAATGAGGGCACACGACCGTAAGTCGGCCTCGGAAATGGAGCGATTCTGATTGTTGAATTGCAAAAGTTTGTCGAGATTTTCGGCAGTGGATATATCATGGCTTAGGATGTTAAAGATCACATTTGGTTTATACAACATCATAAATATTTGGATATGCAGCAGATGTAAGTTGCCGAAATTAAACAGCAATTTCACCAACAAATGATATTGCGAATTGTTCAACTGTAGGGCATTATGGGGAAAAAAAACATTCAATGAATATACCTGGAGTGGGAATATTTTTGCTATGGATTTTTGTGACCAAGATTTTGAAACTGAATGCAGCTAGGGTTGCCACCTCTAAGGCAGAAAGAACTGAGACGTAGCAAAGGAGAACTACAGCACATGTAACCGACAAAGAACGAGACTTTTATGTCCCAGATAGACGTTTCCCAGGCTAGCTACCTCAAAAGGACAATCGCGGGAAAGCCAAATTGGGGTTTAAATTATAAAACAAGCATGAGCATGGTGTAGTGCTTTTGGAAAATGTAATTTGACAATGAAAATCATAGTGCCTGCCATGATAGTGGACAGTATATGAATGGGACTGACAAGGTGGAGTAAAACGGAAAAGTAATGCAAAAACGCATGGAGAGATGCATGCTGGGAATTGCACTTTAAGTTAGAAGGAGGAAAACATGTTGACTATTGGATAAGTGGACCTGAGAAGATCAGACTGCTAGAAGGGGTGAATATCAGATAGACGAGACTGGGCTCGCATTGGCAGTCAAAGGAGAGAACATGTCTGACTCAGGAGATGCAGCGATGCTATCGGTTCAGGAGCAGGAGTTGTGTCATGGCAAGACCATGAAGGGTGGTGACGATGTGGGGAGGATTCTTCATCGGCCAGTAGACAGAACATGGCTATTGATACTGATTATGACAAATCTGTGTCAGCGTAACAAATCATGCCGAGAAAAGAGACAAAACGGAGAATTTTCTTTGTTATTTTTTTTATCATTGTTATTATTGTTTCATTCCATTTCACATTTACAGGACTATTACGGAACCCAGGGTAAACGAGGGTTAGGCGAAGATTATAGATTATACTGGTGCGTTTAGGGATAAAACACTTGCATCACATCAATTCATAACAAGGAGACAAATGCTTATGAGGAACATTTAAGTAATGGTAAAAATGGCATAGAATAAACAGCTAAAATAATTAAGCAGGCCTGCATAAATATATAGGAGCAACCACCATAGTCAGTTTTGTTTCAATTATTTCAAGGAAAAGTTTGTTTTTACCTGCAAAAGTACGTGAGAAATTCCACTTTGTGGGTTAAATTTTGCAAAAAAAGGACATTTTAGAGCTAATGCCTCTGAAGTCATTACAAAAATGTACATTAAAACAGAAAATACTTATAGAATCATGTACAGTAACCTAGCGTTTTGAGTTACGGTAACGTAATGCATGATCCCATAACATTTCTTTGTTGCACAATAAGATTCTATAAGATTGTATAACGCGTACAAATAATATTAAGGTACATTTGAATAAACTTTAACGATTTACTTTAGTTTCACAAATGGAATTATCACCCTCCAGTAATTTTTGGAATGATGAAAATGATGTGATTGATTTACATTATGGTGAATGGTATAGCACCACTAGTGGCTGCAAGGGAAAATGCAATTGCGGCACCACATATACAGTACCGATTAACAAATTAATTATTGCACATACATTATGCAAAGTACGTGTTGTGAGCTTAAGAATCGATATTAATCGAACGATGCATTGTTCCACCCCATTTCAATATTGTATACAATCTTATAGATAAGCAAACTAACATGAAGTACATTTTTGTAAGTGGTGAAAACATTATAACAGAAGCAATTACAGTGAAATCTGTATTAGAAGCCCTGGGTTATCGTATTTCGTGTTGGTGGAATAATAGAGCGCTTGCTTATGACAAATTAATTACCTTTTATTCCAGAATTATCGCAATTCACACGTAATGGTGTTTAAATTGCATTTATAAAAATATGATGTAAACATTTTATATATGCTGATGTCCTTTGTCATTACTCTGTCATTAAATACAATCCTGGTAAATTAAGTTGTCCACAGTGAGCAGAGACATACGATCTCGTCTTGGCTCACGAGAAGGCTGCAAAGCCATCACATTTTATATTTCACATCAATCGGGAACTTCCCTGGCCCTCAGATTTATCCAAATT